GTCGACCGATCCATCTCGTCATATGAGGAGTTTCGAGAATATGGCGGTTCTGCATCGCTACAATGACCCAGTGCAATGTCGAGCTTTCCTGACAACCTTGCGGGGATCTGCGCAAGATTGGTTCCATCAAATACCGGCGGGAGCCATCAAGGACTTTGAAGGATTCAGTGCGAGCTTTCTCATTCAATTTGTAAGTGTCAAACTGCAAAAGAAATCGTATCTGACCTTGATGGGCATACAGCAAAAAGAGGCGAGTCATTGCGAGACTATATGGCGAGATACACGCGGGCGTGCATTGAGGTGCCCAGAGCGTCAGAGGAGATAAAGGCGGGAGGTTTGACTCGAGGATTGTTACCCGGCTTATGCAGGAATTCGTTGGCAAAGCGCCCGGGCAGAACGTTCGATGAGGTATTAGGGAGATGTGCGAAGTACATGAACGTCGAAGAGGCGGAAGCCGACTTCTTGCAAGCGGTTAAAGCAGGAAAAGCTGACTCTCGGGATGAGAGAGGGAGAAGAAAAATTCCTCGACTGGGGAAAGAAAGGGGTCCCCACGAGCAGAAAGAGAGGGGCGATCTAGGGGTTGGAGGCCGACTCAATACACCCCTTTGTCGGCCCCTCAAGCGCGAATTTTGGAGGTTATGGAAAGAGAAATTCATGACAATGTCGTCAGATGGCCCAAGACGAGGAAGGATGGACCAACGAGACCAAAAAGTAATCTATACTGTCGATTTTATAAGGATTATGGTCACAATACCGACGACTGCAGGCATCTCAAGGACGAGATCAAGAGGCTGATTAAAGCAGTACATTTGAAGGAATTCATATACAAGGATCGAGAGAGGTCAAGCAGGAGGAAAGAGAGGAGCAGGAGCCCTCGCAAGAGGGCGAGAACGCTTGAGAAGGATGAGCTTCCTCAAAAAAGAGGAGTCATACACATGATATTTGGTGGATCGACCGATGGAGATTCGAATCGAGCAAGGAAGGCGTATGCTAGAGGGCGCCATGTGAAAGTCGAGATACAACAAGTCGACGAGAATGGACCAGTAATGAACTTTGGACCAGCGGATGTGGGAGAAGTCGAGAGGCCTCATAATGATGCATTAATGATAACCGCCCAAGTGTCAGGATATGAAGTGCAGAGAGTGTTTGTCGACACTGGGAGTTCAGTGAATGTGATTTTCTATAATTGTCTCAAGAGGATGGAGCTCGACATACAACTCACACCCCTCCATACCTCACTGTTTGGTTTCAATGGTTCAGAGGTCGCGCCCCTAGGAGAGACTATGCTTGCTGTCGTCCTAGGGGAAGGTGATTTGCGAAAGGTAAAAATGGTAAGATTCGTGGTAGTCGATGTCGAATCAGCTTACAATGTGATCCTAGGAAGCGCTTAATGCATTTCAGGTCGTGGTGTCAACTTACCACATGAAGTTGAAATTCCCTGTTGGAGATCGAGTGGGAAAAGCTCGAGGCGATCAAAAGCTGTCAAGGACTTGCTATCAAATTGTTGTGAAAACCAACCAGCGAGCCGAGGTAAAGGAAGGGAAGAAGCCGGGGTCAAGTGAAAAGAGGCCAAAGAGTAGTGA